GTACACCCCAGGACCCTGTGAGTGCTGAGTGAGCCGACAGGGTTTCAAAAAGAGGTTTTTCGTATCAGGCTATAGCAAAAAGATTCTTGTTCTTTTAGGTAATCGTTCCGTGTTCACTGATGCTGCTCGGCACAGCAGTTCCTCCCTGTGAGGTGCTGAGGCTCTGGCACAGGGTGCGCAGAGAAGCTGTGGCTGCTCCATCCCTGGAGTGTTCCCGGCCGGGCTGGGTGGGGCTTGGGGCAGCCTGGGCTGGGGGAAGGTGTCCCTGCCCATGGCAGGGGTGGAACAAGGTAGTCTTTAAGGTCCTTCCAACCCAAACCAGTCTGTGTTTCTGTGAATACTGCATTTGGCACACCAGCTGTCTGGAGTCAGAGTTGTAACTGCAGACACAGTCTGTGTGTTTTTATTTTTTTGCAATAGACCGTCGTGAGACAGGTTAGTTTTACCTTACTGATGATGTGTTGTTGCAATAGTAACTGCAGATACAGTCTGTGTGTTTTTATTTTTTTGGAAAATTATTCAGTGTCAATTCCAGAGTGTGTTTGCACCACAGAGCCACACTGGGGAGAAAGAAAAAGGGCACCAGACTGCATTTTTGAGTTATGAACAAAATCATGGGCCTCAAAGTCTGGATTTTGGATGGGTTTACACTAGAATCAATAACCTACTCATGTTCAGCCCAAGTTACTTTGTTACTTGATGCAATTTAATTTTATTTTTACTGGGTTTATTTTACTGGGTAAATTTTGACAATTTTATTTTTACTGGTTGCTGGTCCCATTCTAGCACTGCCTTGCATCCTGCTGCTTTTCAGGTGCTGACAGGCACCCTGGGGTGCAGCCTCTGCTTTGAGCAGCTCATACTGCTGATGTTGAAAGACTTTCTTGTATCGGAATACATATAGTGGTGATGATGAACAAAACCAAAGTTGGCTAAAAAGGAGGGAAAAGATCTGTTTAGATTGGTTAAAAGTTATTATTCTGAGAATGAAATGTCAGTAGGTTAATTAACCTTTCAAGCAAGTGAAGCCTTTTTTAAAACATTCAGCAGCATCCATGTTTGCTTCAAGAACTCAGGAGCTTCTGAGTACCATAGGCATCACTTCCAAATTGTTTTGGGTATTACAGTTTGAAATACTGTTTTTCTAAAGCAAGTGGTACATTACTGAAGTTCTGACAAAAACAAGTGAGGAAAACATGTTGGAAAACTATGACAGATCAGAAGGTTTAGGGCTGCAAGTGTAAAACATGGTCAGAAAGAAAAACATCGGATTGACACTCAGAACAGTGTGATTTTGCCAGCATTTTCAGCGTGGAATGGCTCCCAGGCACTGGTGAAAGGACTCACACGAGTGCCATGGAACACATTGTGCACGTTATTGCCCAGGGCTGAATCTATTTACAAAACTCCTGTAACTCCCCTTTTTCATACTGCTGTTCCCTCTGCAGAGTTTGAAACTGCAGAAACCCTTCTGAACTCGGAGGTGCACATGCTGCTGGAGCACCGCAAGCAGCAGAACGAGAGCGCGGAGGACGAGCAGGAGCTCTCAGAAGTCTTCATGAAGACCCTGAACTACACTGCGCGTTTCAGCCGCTTCAAGAACCGCGAGACCATCGCCAGTGTGCGCAGGCGAGCGCAGGGGCTGGGCCCTCCCTCCCTCTGGGACACTTCCAGCTAGGACGGCGGTGCTGCTTTAGGACAGGACAGTTTAGTGGTGTTGCTTGATCTGTTCTTTAATTCCAAATCTTGTCTTTCTGGAGAGGCAAGAAATGTGATGATAATTCCTGACAGAGGGTTGTACCTTGCCTTGTGAACTGCTTCTTTTTCAGGAGTTAGTGACAGCTGATTGCATTAAGTGGGAGGGTTTTCTAGACTTTGCAGAGGAAAGTGGAGTTAGCAGATGGAACTTATTTTTCCCCCCTCTATGCAGTTATATAATGAGGCTTTCCTCCTGGAAAAAACTGACCTCAGTGCCAAAAGCAGGATGAAAAAAGATACCTGTTTCGTTCAGTTTATGCCCTTTTATATTTCTATCCTGTAGTTTTACCAAGTTGTTGTCTTTCCTTACAGTTTGCTGCTCCAGAAAAAGCTCCATAAATTTGAGTTGGCATGTTTGGCTAACTTGTGTCCTGAGACAGCTGAGGAAGCAAAAGCCTTGATTCCTAGGTGAGCACTTACATGTTGTACAAAGACTACTTTATACTTCCCTCTGATCCAAAGCCAGCTTTGGGCAGGTCTTCAGCTCTGTTGATGGAAGAACGTTTGGTCTCAGTCTTTCTTCCCATACCCATTGCTCTGACAGAGAGGTGCTGTTTGTACATGTCCCTAATGTGCTCCTGACAACTTTTACTGAATTAAGTGTCATCGGCTTCAAATGAGGGTTCTCAGCCCATCCTGCTGTGTTTGTGTTCATTGGAGGTTTTTTATATTGAAGAAAATGAACTGTTTTGTTGATAATGTGTGGGGAAGCAGTAACTTCTCCGTATCTTGATTGGTTACCTCATGGCCTGAGAAAGAGGAGGGAACAAAACATTTGTCTGAATTAGTTTCTTCCTTATGTGTTCTTATATAAAAGACAAGCTTTGGGGTGACCTCATTGCAGACTCCTGGTGCCTGAAGGGAGCCTGCAAGAAAGATGGGGAGGGACTCTACAGGGACTTGGAGTGACAGGGCAAGGGGGAATGGCTTCACACTGACAGAAGGTTTAGATTAGACATTAGGAAGAATTTCTTCCCTCTGAGGCACTGGCACAGGTTGCCCAGAGAAGCTGTGGCTGCTCCATCCCTGGGAGTGTTCCAGGCCAGGTTGGATGGGGCTTGGAGCAGCCTGGGCTGGTGGAACGTGTCCCTGCCCATGACAGGGGTTTGGAACAACATGGTTGTTAAGGTCCTTCCATCCCAAACCAGTCAGGGATTGTATGATTCTATGTTAAGATTTCACCACAGGAGCAGACTGGAGCATTGCAGCTACATGGACTTCATTTAGAGCTCTGTTTAAACCTGCACCTGCCTTGCCTTTTTGATACCATGTTTTGAAATTATTCAGCAGAAAGTTCTGGGAAGGAGTTTTGTCATGTAAAGAGGAGGCACTGCCTATGCTACTGTACAAACACCACTCCCAATGGATTAGAGTAGTGTTTGTACAGGAGCATTACTGGTTGTTACATACACACCAGTGATGGGATGTTGAGACTGATGGGAGAGAATCATGACTGTCTGAAATGAATCCAGGGGGGAGATTATTTCTGATACCTTTAATGTCTCCTCATTGTTCTTCTCTTGCAGCCTGGAGGGACGGTTTGAGGATGAGGAATTACAGCAGATTCTCGATGACATTCAGACTAAACGCAGCTTCCAGTACTAAGGTTAACCTTCAGCCCCTTCATTTGAACTCTGGGGACTTGGGCTGTTTCTCAGCCCTCTGGCCCAGCCTGTCTCCCAGCTGAGTGAGGGAAGGTGTGGATACAGGGTGCTGCAGTGCTGTGTGGTCACAGGTGCACACAGGCTGGAGATCAGCATTGGCCCTTCGCTTTGTTGCACATGCATGTTGGCAAGGACCTCTATTGTGGGGGCCAAAGAACCTGAAAAGCCTTTTCCCAGTGGCTCAAGTATTTGTTTCTTCCCAAATCCATCTCCCCAGTTTGTAAATTTTCAACGTTTCTGTTTTTTTAGCAGAAATACAGATGTGATTTCATTCTTTTGAGAACTTCTAAAAGAGATGGAGAAACTTGTTTGTGGCTCTGAGAAGGTTCAGTGATGAGCAGTGATGAGGTTTCTTGTTTGTTTGGGTTTTTTAAATTGTTTTATCAGGACTGAATTTTTACAGCTTCCATAATTTTCTATTGTTTAGTGTAAATTAAAAGATATTTCAAATAAAGTTGTGTGGTTTATAAACATTATTTATAAACATTAGGTATTATGATTTTGTTAAGGAAGACTTTCTTGATAAACAAATCCTGGAGATCTGGGGACTCCAAGTATATAATAACACAAGTGCAATTTAGGACAGGTCAGACAGAGGTGTTATTAACTAGGATTGGAGTGAGAGAATTTCTGGGCAGCATCTCCCTATCTGCTCCCCTGTTGTCTGCCAAGTGATTATAGAGACCAAACCTATATCCTGTTACAGAAGAGGGTGAGGAAACCCAATGATTTGGATGTTAACAAAGCTGGGTACCATCCCGGGAGGGATGGACTCCTAAAGCTGATGCTACCTGCCCTAATTCTGGGAAGGAGCCAGAGTTATCCCAGCACTGCAGCTGGATATCACAGATTGTTAGCTTACATTTGAAAGGATAAACTTAGCCAGCCCTCACAGATCTTACAATTTTACCACCACACCTGGAAGAAGGAAGGGTGTTAAGGCATTATTTGTGATGATAAGCAATAGAGTTTTACTGATCTTGCAAGAAGGAGAGAAATACGATATAATTTCAGCTCTTACCAGACACTTCATTTTGCTGCTGTGCTGAAAGGCCACTCTGGCCTGTGACCACTGCTTGGGCACCCTCAGACAGCACATCACCTCATACAGCGTTTGTGCCTGTGCCAGAGTGGCAGTAAGTCTGCAAGTCACTAAACAAGACTTTCCCCTCTAACCACGAGTGGGAGTGACTGGGACTATGCTGGAGGGAAGTGGCATGACACTGGGAGCAAGAGAGACCAAGCTGGGGGTGACTAGGATCATACTGGGATCCTTCTGGGATCCTACTCAGAATGAGAAGGAGCATGTGGGGGGCAATTAGGACCGTGTTGGGGGCAAGTGGGTTCTACTGGGAGCACTTGGGAATCATGCTGGGGGTGACTGGGGTGATAGTGGAAGCAGCTGGGTCCACACTGATGGTGGCTGGGAGTGGCTGTGAGCAAGAGGGATGTTGGTGGAAGCCTCTTGGAGCAACTGTGAGTGACTGGCAGCATGCTGAGGGCCACTGGGTTATTGGAAATGATTGGGATTATACTGGGAGTGCCTGAGAGGTACTGGGTTCATCCTAGGACTGACTGAAACCAGATAGTGATAATGCTGTGAGCATATTGGGAGTGACTGGAAGCATACTGGGGTGAATGAGAACAGCTGGAATGATGCTGGGATCCTAGTGGCATGATACTGAGAGAGGGGGATCATTATGAAATCATGCTGGGAGTGAGCTGAACCATACTGGAGGTGCCTGGGAGCATGGTGGCAGCACCTTGGAACAGGCTGTGGGTAACTGGGAGGGGCTGAGTACTAAACTCATGTTGAAAGAGAGGAGTGCTCAGGAGTAACTGGGCCTAAGCTGGACACAGCTAGAATCCTCTGACGAGAGACTTGGATCATAATTGGGGTGACTGGGATCATAATGGTGATGAGTATGGTTGTACTGGGAAGCACCTAGGATCACCCTCAGAGTAACTGGGAACAACTCGACTAATTCTGGAAGTAACTGGCAGTAACTGGGTGTAGTCTGGGGCTGACTGGTTGTTACTGGGCTTGGATGCTAAGTGTATAACCCCCAGCAGATGGTGAGGAGGTGAAATGTGGCCAGGCCGAGGGGTAATCCAGCAGTTTTTGTCCCAGCACATTTTTCAGTGCCAGTGGAGAATTAAAGTCTGCGAGAGTTGATGTGCCACTAGGTACTTGTAGGTGAGGAGGATTGCTCAGAGCACCGTGGTCTGAGTGCCCACGGGAAGGTGAGTGCCAGCACAGCGTTGGCTCTTCAGGACAGTTTGTGTGGCAGCTCGTGAAGGACATTGGAAGATGCCCAAGAGTGTAACAATGTGCAGGTACATGTAGCTGAGGAAGACACAGATAGCTCTCGTGCTGTATGGAGTTGAAAGGCTGTGAGAAGGGCTAATGTGGAATCTGCCTTTGTCCTGGCACATGTTTCTGTGCAAGACGTAGATGGAAACTCTTGGACTCTGCAAGACTGAAAGTGGGTCTGTACTGAGCATATACACACTTCCAGTATAGACTGAAATTGTGTCTAAAGAAGGAAATTGCTGATCACTGCAGTCTGTCTGCAATATAGAGTAGCAAGAGGATGGTGACTGAGTTCTTTTTTCAGGACCTTTTGTATGGGAGCTGCTGCACGTTGTAATCCTTTCAACTGCAGCAAACCCCCTGGAGCTGTGCATTTTCCTGCTCGGCTGCAGGGACTGAGAGAATTCTTTTTGTTTTGCTGAGTTTGGCTGCAAAACTTTTAAGGTCCAGTAGCTGCTGTGATTCTAGAGGGGTTAGAATGAAAAGCTAGAAGTGGCTTTCACTTTGCCCTTGCAGCTTACAAACAGCAGCACAGACAGGTCTGGATGCTTTCCTGCTCCACTCTGTGTACCTTGTTCAGCCTTGCAAACACCTGTCACAAGATGAAAAACCTACAGCAGCTGATG